CTGCACTCCCTCAGCCTCCCTCCTGCCAGCGCCTGACAAGCCATGAAAAGCGCCGAACATATCAGGTTCAACTACCTCAATTTCTGCGCTGTGGTTGACCCTATGAACTCCCGCATGCCTGGTTTGCTCCAAAAGCGTCGCTCGGACACAGGTTTATTTGCACAGACTCCCCTTGAACAGGTTTGGAAATCACCTGTACTGTTGGTGATCTCTTTATTCTAATCATCTTTACTGAACAAGCAGGGTCGGCCCACTGCCAATGCTGCCGTGGCAAGACAGGATCGCTCGCTTCCTGCCCTATAACCATTATAGACAGAATTGGTAGACAGAATTATCAACAGGCAGGGTTGGGAGGCTAACTGCACCTACTACAGTTCCAAGCGGATGAAGGTGGGTAGAGAGAGTCTGACCACTTCAAACTCGTCAAAGCTTTTAATAGTCCAAAAGGGATCACCCTCAAAAATGTGGAGCAAAGGGCTTGAAGCACCCTCGAGTCCAAAGAGCATGTGTTTGTGTTGCAGATTTGACCAGACAGCTCCTCTAAAGGTCCCTTTCTACCCAAGGCAATGTTCTCAAGCAGCGTCGCTGGAGCGCCAGAAGTGCAGGCAGGACACCAGGGGTCGAGGATGTGGACGTCCCGGACAACCCTTAAGACTGGGACGTGCCGTGCCAGGCGCCCGGAGTTCTAAGACCCCGGTTAGCCCTGGGACAAGTATACCATTGCTTTCATGGGCCGAACTGCTGAGCCTTGCAAGCAGTCTACGCATTGCACAGCAGACCCTTTGCCTCCATAAAGCTGCCACCCGCAGAAACTGGTCAAAAAAGCAGGTCCAAATTCACAAATTGGGACTTTGGATCTCCAAAATGGGATGTGGGGATCACGTGAAATTGCAGGTCTTCAGCAGTGCCATCTATAAGAACCACCCAGACGCACCATACGAGGTTTTTAGTTTCCCCCATCAACATCCGATGAGCATGCCTTCAGGTGAACGCTCCAAATCCGCACGGGCCAAGATCATGAGGCTCTACAATCGTGCCTTTACTTTGACCTTCACGTCCTGACCTTCACCTGACGTTTTTGCGTTGCTTTTTTTTGTTTCCTGTTTTGAAGTGGAGACCTGGCTTCGAAGCACATCCGGCTTGCTTGGCTTGGACGGACCGGTGTGTCGAGTCCGTCTCGCCGAGGACCAATCACGATGGTGGGATGAAGATGAACGGAGGAACGCCGGATGAGGAGCTCCCCGCAATGATCGGGGTCTTCGTTCCAACGAGGTAATGATGGTAATGCAACTGTTTCATTGTAGGAAAATTTAGGGTGATCAAATCATGGAACAAAGAGGATTGACAGTGATTGACACATCATTCTCATGACGCGCTCCTTACCTTCGTGCTTGATGAACCAGTCACCTACACTGGCAACCTTGCAATCTTGGAAACCCCATCGGCTCCAGCAGCCACACCAAAGATGGCCATGTTGGGGTCAGAAAAGCGACTGCCAAAGCCTGCCGATGAACCCATCGGCGCAGTCACCACCAACTCGGGATGAAAGCCAAAGCCTTGGCGTGGCCCGATGTGTTGTTATAGGATATGCCGGAAAACATCATGTGTGAATCGTATGAACCGTATAAACTTGGAAGTAATTTAAGTATGATGTCGTTATTTTGATTGACATGTTTCCGCCAGTCATCCCGATGGTGTGAAGACATCTTTTTGAATGCAAAACCCTACTTGCGAGGGGTCTAGAGTTTTTGAAGATGTGTGAGGACCAGTCAGTGCCACACAAAATTGGGCATCCACAAAGGGTGCATGTGAAAAGCATTGCTGACAGCTATATAACTCGATCAGAGAATCTTTATTGTATTGTTCAGCCATGGGCCATGTCCAATGATTCTTGGAATGATTTTGAGGTCCTGTTAGATTCTTGCTCTCATCAGCCCCTTCTCTTTGCTTCCTTCTCCGCGAACGACCCGATGCGTTCGATGTGGAACAACGAGAAGAGAGATGGGTCTCAACGACTAGGGACCCCCAGGGGCCCAGCCAGGCTTAGCCAGGCTGTCAAAACACAGGTCAGATCAACAAATCATAACACCTCAGTGGGCCCAGGGGGTGTCCCATGCCCCTGTGACAGCTGATCTGCCATTCGGCATACACAGCGCATTCGCAGCCCTCGGCGGACCGAAATTCACGGACCCAGCGGAGGGAGAAAAAAGCGACGTCCGAAGCGATGGAAGCCACATTGGGCGAGAAGCGATGTGGGTGGAAGCCAACTGCTGTGCTGAACATTCATGCAAGTCCATGCAAGTCATATATATATATATACCTTTAATATCCTTTAATCCTTAACTTTAAGTGTATCCTTTATTCACGAAAATGCTACTGCATCTATATAGGGCCCTGTGGACAGATCCGATGTGTTCCTCAGACCTTCGCCTCCCTCTCAACGCCCTCCGGGTTCAGGCCTTCCAGATTTTCGCGTGAGGACCTCAGTGAGTCCGGCCTGGCGAAGCTGATCAACTCGGCCAATCGGTGGATGTATATAGTACTATGTATAGTTCTTGGTTTTGCTTAACGGCATAGTTCTTGGTGGATGCATTTCGGTGGGTGAATCTCCGTCAAACTTCTGGGTTCAATTCGATAGTTTCCGGCTTCATCCCGGTTCCTGGACAGCATCGTTCGATTCAACGAGCTTGTCAAGTCAGATCCGCAGACTTGGTGCCACCCACGGGGGGGTGGCCGGAACCGGACAGATTTGGACGTCCGAGAACCCGGGCAGAATGAGATAGCATGAGCGATCACAAGATTGCCTTTGGGGGTACTGGACCTTGTTGATCATCTCAGTGTCCATTTGTACAGGAACCGAACCCTCCGGATGCTGCTGATTACTTGCACCCACCCAGTGTCACTGACCATCCTCCTGACCTTTACAGAGCGGTGGTCGAACCTCATCCACTCGGTCCCTTGGCAAGGGGGGGAACTGTCCAAGTGACCGACTTCGTCATCCTGAAGATCGCACTGATCATTGTTTCGCCCATTACATGCGATCCGCAAACTCTTGCAATGACCCCTGGGCCCCTTGAGGACTATATTTTGGATGTTGTGGTCCAAACCCCAACCCCCAACACCCCATGGTGATCTCCCGACCCAGCCTGAGCCGGTCCGAACCAACCCGACTCGCCCACTTGGAGGCAAGTCGGGTCGGCCAGCTCCTCAGACGTGGATCGCGAAGGGAAGGCAGGGAGCGTACTACGCGGCTTCCCCATCCTATTGGAAGTCGGAGTGGATGGCTAGGGCTTCACCAGTTGTTGTGAACCAAGGGGCGAGAATGGGATGAAAGAGGATGGAAGGATTTGTGGCTGGGGTAAGTTTTGGGGTGCATCAACAAGACCCTTGTGTCAAGACCAGTGAACATTGCCCAGGCTGGCCAGGGTCAGCTGGTTCTTTGGTCCTATATGCTCCAACCGTTGGTTAGTCACTCCAACCGTTGGTTAGTCACCAACGCCTCACAGCATTCACACTAAAAAGCCGTAGATCTGAAAAGTTGGTTTATTCACACACCTTGAACGCAAAGGGTGATGCATGGGGCCTACTTTGGGGTCTATGTTTGCCAGAGCAGGCTCCATTCAAAGTCTCCAGATGTCTCCAGCAGGTGAAAGGAGATGAAAGACGGATCGGCAAACCAACAGGATTGTGGGGGGGTGCAGGGTTGATTTGGAACTCACTACAGTATTATTGTTTGTTCAGTGCCTATCATTTCTGGACTGAGTCTTTACTGGAACTGGCACCTGCCCTGTTTGAAGGGCAATGGAGTGGGGGACACCGATTTTCCAAGAGCGCAAAGTTGCTGAGATCTAAGGCAGGTCAGCTCCTGAGCTCTGAAACATGGAGGTCCCAGGTCCCATGGAGAAGAGCACCTTTGCCGATAGCAGAAATGGTGTGATGTTTTTTTGGTGGCTGGTCAGGCAGCAGCATGCTATGGCTGGATATGTAGGAGATGATGAAGGCTGTGAAAACGAAAACTTGAACAACCATTATCATGCGCGTCTACGGACCAACCATCACAAGCACGGAATAGCTGCACGGTGCACACTGTCAAAGACAGGGGATGCACAAAGAGGAAGTTTCTGCAGCCAGTGCGTTCCAAAAGCGTGTGATGTGCCTGCAGTGCTGCGGTTCCGGAAAGGCAGTTGAATCCCACCATATTCCACCTAAAGCTGCCAAGCACTCCGGAGTATAGAGAAATAAATGAAAATCTAAATATACATATATATATATATATATATGTTCAATGTTCATTTTGGATCGGCGCATTGCAGGGATTTACAGGGACAAATGGGGAACATGCCAGTCAACAAAGTGTGAGCATGTATGCTAATACTGACATGTACATACATATTATATATTACAATAATGACAGTATGGACAACACATATTGATACGGATACGTATTCAAATTACTATAACGACGATATGAACAACACACACATATATATATATATATACAGAAAGAGAGAGAGGGTGAAGAAAGAAAGGTGGGTACTGGGGTGGTACCATATAAATACATGCTTCAGGAGGAAGACAGTTTGGTAGCAACTTCACTTGAGGATGTCATTGATACCACTTCTTTTTTCCCAATGGAATTCCGGCAGATTAGTTTCCACCACGAACTAGAAAGTACAATGCTATAAATTTACTTCGGGGTGGAAACTAATCCGCCAGCATTCCACTGTGATCCCCTGTAGGATTCTAAGGGGAAAGGTTGTAGGTTACGTACTCACCAGTTTGTTACCAACTTTTGTCCTAGCTGCTAGCTGTGTAATTCTTATAGTATATGTGCCCTAAGAATCCGAATGGGCTCTCCATGGCAGGGAAGGGAACCCGACACCTTCCGAGGGGTCCGGGCCCTCAAACGCGTTCACCGGTCTGCGGAGGTGACGGCACCAGGACACGGAGGGCCCGTCCGAGCGCTTCGCGAGCGACGCTTCCGTCGACGCGATCGAGCCATGCCGGAGCTTTGCGACATCCACACCTTGGCTTGCACCCAGCTGTCACTCACCTGAACGAACAATCCAGCCCCGGTGGATGTGGATATATATATATATATATTATATACTGCCAGTTGCAGTCCGGCAAAAGGATGACTGGAAGAAGACATGTAATTTCCGGATGGCGGCCCCGGTGCCACTTGCACGGAAAGAGTCCTTCCAGTGGCACCAGCGGGTTCTATTTGTCACCTGTCAATGGAGCCGTTTAGACCCCCATGCATTTGTCTCGTGCCAACGGCCCGAGTGACCCCACACAACTGACTATACACTAAACAGCGAAAGAGGAGTCAGTGTGCTTCCATTCGTCATCAGTTGTCGAGTCTTCCACTGGAACCTATTTTACAGTCTATCATACAGTCCATCCAGAACATGGATCGAAAACACTGTACCTAGAGTTTGATGTTCTCTGAGAATCGAAGCCAGGATTCAGAAGCTCCAGCTCCACAGCAATTCCTTAAAACCCGCAATTTCCAAGGTTTCCCTTCGCCCTGAAGTTCTGCAGTGGCAGTGCTCTGAGCATGTTGCGGGCGGCCGGCCCCATTTTCTCGGAGGCATGGCAAGGGCGGTCCGTCGGGCGGTGGTCAGATGTGTTCAGTTTCACCGACACTCGATCCATGGAAGAGATGGACCGTGACTCTCATGCCATACGCCGCGCCAGCCTCGAGGGGATCTGACAACCTCGGTGGCCGGCCCACCAACCGTTGGTCCTCGGATCGGGCTGCAACGGAGGCCATCCCCGAGTCTTCACCATTGTGGAAGGAATTGCTGCAGGAGTCCTCTGCGTGGCTTCATGATTCCAAGACATCCTTGATGCACAAGGCGGGAAATCCTCCGAGCTGGAACTTTGGTTGGCTGGTAGATTGTTGACTGTACCCTCAGAACTCCAACTTGAGCAGCTCCATCTGAGCAAGGCTAACAACCTCCCAAGATGAACTAAGTAAAGGCCTTGTCATATGGAACTTGGGCGTAAGCAAAACCTGAAAAACGTAAGGTTGCGTAAGGCAGTTGTGAGACATTCCAGATTCTGGAAAGTTCGCCCTCGCCCAACACCCTCAGCCAGGCCCACCGCTTGAGCGTGGCTGCCGAGAGATGTCGGTTTGACAGGGAAGATGGCAGCCTTCAGGTGCCACACCCCACACCTGTGACTTGGCAGTAGGTTTGTGATTCCAAAATCCATAGACAAGTACCTGGACCATCGCCTTAGGTGTCGAATGGAAGCCCCTTGGACAGCCGGATGCTCCCTATATCTCCCTATAATATTGCATAACATTAAAGATAATAGGCATGGTGTCATGGTGTCTATCTTAGTGTGGGACATGTGGCGACCTACAGTATCTTTGCCAAGATGTAGCTAACTCGCTGGCGCCGATGAGCAGCGAGCGACTCGCCGGCTCGCTCGACTCTTCCATACATGGATGGTTTGACCATCGCCTCAGCACGTCCTTCGGGGCATTTCTGGGCCATCTGGTGATGTCGCAGGGACCAGCAATCGCCATCCATATGATCCAAAAGCAAAGCTTCTTGATGTTACTTGATGGTACATATGGATGTTACATGATGTTATTTGATTCTACGCCTTTGGTTACTTGTTACTTGTGCCAAATGGACTATCCAGCATGTGTCTATCCGCTGGTTTTCTGCCTTTGCAAAAGTAGCAGTCAGCCGTCTCTGAGCCGTCATGCCCGCGAGAGAGAGAGAGAGAGATTCTGTGGGGCCTCCAGAGGTACCCTGGAAGATGCAGATCGCTTTGGAATCATGTGTTCAAGACTTATAAGAACAGACTCAACTGGAAGCCCGAACCTTGTGTACTAAAGGATGGACTTGGATAGGCGGATCCACCTTCAATGGCTCATCCCGCTCATCCTTCGTTACTGGCTCGCTCAACCGAGGGGTCTCCTCTCGGTGCAACCCCAGGTCAACAAGAGCCGCCGGTACCGACTCATTGTCACGGGCGCACGGCGCAGCGGCATTTCCACCTTGGTGCGGATCATGGCGGGACGCGAGGAGCTCGACAATCAGGGCAAGGACGCGATCGAGGGGATCAGGTGCATGTGGGTCTGTGTGTGTGGGATTGTGTGGGTCACCCATACGCGCCGCGTTGGCTGTGCTGGAAGTGGTAGTCGCGCGCTGGAGAACTTGACTGGGTTCAAAGGGACTTTCATGTTGTAGTTAATCCCCAAACACTGTGGATTAGGGGTTCTTACGGTAGAGGTAAAGGACCAGGTGTCAAATCAGAGGACCGTTCCATGTTGTAGTTCTTTTCCCCTAGGGCTCCAACCATCTCCTCAGAAGGTGGTTAGACCCCCCCAATCCCACCTCAACCATTTTCTCAGAAGGTGGTTGGAGCCCTAGGGTTTGCTCTTTTTCCTGCCACACGACAGGACATGTCGTTGGTGAACTTCTCGGCCGACTTGGACGGCCAAGTTCTCTCCATCTCTGCGGTGGACAAACGCTCAACCGCCATCGTGACCCCGTGGGGAACCTCGGGTGGGGCCAGGGTGAGACAATTTGTCGTGGGGCCAGGCAGGTGGATGTGCTTTGGCACCCCGGGAGGTGCCTGAAATGTCCAGACCCGGGCCATTCAAGGCGTGTCCCAATGGAGATCCCCACGTAATTATGCTAAGTTATTCTATAGGGTAGCTTAGAGTCCAGTGGACCAAGAGTCACTCGTTTTCTGGTCGAACCGTCGGACGACCAAGAGGAACTCTCATTCCCCATCGCTCCAGGGCCAGGGTATTGACCCAATGTATAATAGGCATTTGACCTACATGATCCTGCGCTGACCCCCTTTCAACCACCCCAATGTATGCAATTCTGATTCATTCTGGGACATGCATGACAAATACAGTTTGATACCAGAGAGGTGACGGTATCCAAAGGATTCCCATGTTCAGCCAAAAACCATGGGTGGTGCTCCTGAAAACCTGCAGTAGCTGAGTACGGATGAGCATGATTTCCTCATGTCCCTGACAAGGAATCTTGATTCCAGGTCCACTTCCATCCAATGAACTGACACCTCGCCTCTCCTGAAATCCAACTCACCCCCCTGGAGGGCTCGGCAAAGCCGCCAACAAAAGCACGCCATGCCCAACACATGAAGCCATTTCGAGGTTATCAGCCGCCCTTTACAACGGTCATAGCGCAGCACTCTTCGTCTTTGATGCTGCCAATGCGGATTCGCTGAAGACCACGGCCTGCTGTATCGCTGAGCTTCAGCAGACGGTTGGGCCACAGAAGTTCCGACGCATGCCCAAGCTCCTGGTGTGCGCCCTGGTGAGCAAAGTCGGCTCCGTGTGGGACGCATTCAAGAACCCGTGAGAGAAAAACAACTGTTTGGAATACCAATCCCAAGACGTAGCACCTTTGAGCGCCTCTAGCAGATCTATGTCGTTTTGTGGGTCAAACCGGTGGCTTTCAGTTTTGCAAATGAGACCTGCTTTTGATGTCCAAGAATATGCAGATTGAATGACCACAAGTGCTACACATCTGACACCTGACACCAGCAAAAAGCACTGGACTTCACATTTCGTGCTGGATCCCGAAGGCAAGGTTGGTATATGTTTGTATAAATGTCGCACATATGGCGATAAAGGTGCACCAAACGCCAGCACTATGGGAGGTACATGATTTTCTACAAGGCAAGGCCCATTTTTTCAGAGCCGGCGCTACCCCTGGTAGTGGTACATCTCAACCCCGGCGGTTTGCGAGGTCACAAGGCGGATGTGCTGCCGAAGGTGGAAGATCGCCTGGCGGAACTACCTGCCATGTGTGAAGCCTTGCTATCGACCTATGGAATGGAGACTCTGCTATCGAGTGAATGGGGCTGGATGGGTGTCATGTACTTAGACTTGGCTGATGGACGGTTTCGAGCTGCCCAGTGAAAAAAAGGAACGCCGTGAACCCATGGGTTTGGGAGGTCCTTGAGTTTTTGCATGTTTGAGAACAAAAGCATACAGAAGTGGCTAGAAAGCAATGCAAACTTCAAGAGATCTCTAGCAGGCTTTGACCACTTGGCTCAGCCAGGGGTATCTCAACACCCGGAACCCGGGAACGTCCTTGGATGCTCTTGGCACGTGCCCCAGAGAGGTCCTCGTGAGGGTCGGCCTCGCCCTCGGTTTGATCAAAAAACATGCAGAATGAATGCCACTACCAGCAGCTGCTCTTCAGCACTCTTCCAAACCCTGGCACCAAATCATTAACCATGCACGAGTTCGTACCTCGATGTTTCTCTCCTTTCCAAGTTTGCCCGGGGTCGTCCTGGCAACATCGAGGATCTAGTCTTCACCACCAGGGAGGACCTCCGTGCTGGGAGCTGTGGTGTTAAACCAGGGACCGCAGGTTGTTAATTCAGTTTCATCCAAATTCGCTTCAAACTTGCATGGTTTGGAGGGATGCACCAGGTTGAAGAGCATCTGTGGTAGGTAGTTGCTCAGTGGGGTTGAGTCTTACTTCAGTTGTGTTCTTTTTCGCAATCGTTTGAGAGACACAGATGGTAACGTATGTAACACTTGCGCGGTAACAGTGACATAAGCAGCACCTGCACAGTAACAGCAACGTAAGTAAAACAGTAAACTAACATTTCAGTAACTCAGTAACAGCTACGTAAGTAGCAATTTTGAAGCTTAACATGTCAAAATTGAAGGAATGACACCCAGCATCACTGGACAATTGATTAACTGAGATTTCAGCGTTTGGACCCAAACGATTCTTGCTTTATTCTTGAAAGGGTAGCCGGCAGTGAGCAAAGATAGACTGACTGCATATTGTGCAGTTTCATTTCTTGTGCGACGTTCAATTGTTTTCGGTTCTTATGTTTTCTTGTGGTGCCGCACATGATGAGTGTTGGATTCCATTGCACCCTTTGCGTTCTTGACAAAACCTGTTTCTGTTGTCATGATTGTAATGTAGGTTACGTTGTGGCAGTAATATATATTGAATATTTGCATATTGATATAGTGATTCATGCTATATACATATTTATATAGCACATGTTTTTCAATCTCTACAAGACAGAAAAGTTACCATGCTCGGCGAGGACCCCAGCTCCATCCACCTGGCCGTGGCTTTGGCCGCGGAGCATTGGCCGGAGGCGGACCCTGATGAGCCGCGGAGCACGTGTTAGTAATGTTGGATGTGTGTCGGCTGAGGGGGGCTCTCCGATCTCACTGATACTATGATACTATAGCCTATAGTTACTATAGCTTATAATCATGACCACTATTATAGAAGATATTAGATGAATATTTCAAATAGAAGATGCAGTTTGAGGGGGGTTGCCAGGAAAGGTTCAAATGGAATAAACTGCATAATGAAGATCAGCAGTTTTCACACAGTTCAAATAGAATTAATACAACATATGTCATTTGCCAGAGTTCCTCCTTTACTCTAGTTTGTTCTTATTTTGACCTCCAGAATTATTTGATCTTCTATTTGAAAATGTTTTGGGCAGCCTTCCCGATTCATTTCAAATAGAATATGGGTACTCCGGAATATTCCTGAATTTCTTCTATAATAGAGGTCTTGATTATACTATAGGCTATAATATATAGGTATAGTCAGGGTGTCTGCATTTGGAGGGTTCTCATCAGAATCACCAAATGGTACAATGAAAACATATCAAAAACAACAGGAGTTGCAAGACGGCCCGTGGGGGGGCCCGTGGAGGAACGGACCAGGAAAAGGTGCGGAAGAGGAGGCTCGAGGCTCCGATGCTGCGAAGAGCAAGCTCAGTTTATAAAAGTAAAGTTCAAAGGGTCAAGCCGGATATGTGTAGTTTATGTCGCAGCAGGAGTTGATTTGCCAGTAAGTTTCTGTTTGACATGCCACGTTGAGTGCATGATTAGTATACAACAATGTTAATTTCGAATAAACTAAACTTGCTTGTCCCGCAGCCGCAGCAAACATTTTAATAGCTCCTGAAAGTTGTTCATTTTCAACTGAGCTGAGCAAAGCCCGCCAAGGATGCCAGCCGGAAGTTCCCCGCCATCTCACGACAACAGCTGCGTCCGACTCGGACCGTGGTACGGAGGAACACCGTGGTGAGGCCAGACAGCAAGAAGCGGCGAACAGGTACCGTCGTCCCCTGGGTCACAACCAGAGGCCCCCCAGCGCACCTGTGAATGTTCATACAACTGACATGCTGTTAGAAGTGGCCGGTGATGTCTTATGAAGGAAGGGCAACCATTCCTCATCATTTGGGAGTTTGGGCATGGGAGATGGCAGGAGTGTTATTCGGTGTCTATAGCCTGTGCTTTTGCCACGGCGGCCATGTGGTGGTGCACCACGTTCCGAAAACACTCTGAACATCGATTTCAGTGTGTTTGCCACGATCGTCTCAAAACCACCGTGTTCGCCACTTCAAGGAATCTACCGCCACGCCGCCCGGCCAACATCTTGGAAGAGCTGCGTTCCAGAGTTCCACGAATTGAGTAGCATGCGGATTGAATAGCATGCGCGTGTATGTATCCTTTGCATGGAATGTGGACTGTGGCCGTCACCAATCTTTGCCAACGCACGACCTAATTTCTGGTGTCAAGATGGCCTCAAAAAGACTGTACAGCGGAGAGCCATGTGGACATTGGCATGTGGAACGTTGCACGCCTATTCTGAAGCTCAGATTTGAGCATGAATGGGAAAATGCGGCGCGAGACCTGTCGACTGCCTGCTGCATTCCTCGCTCGCCTGCCTTCCTCGATCATGTCCAAGAGTTCATAGCGTTGTTCAGTGACGTTCCGAACGTATGTGCCTCTCCGAATTCATGGCCCAAAAGATCGTGTTTGGCAACATCCCTTCAATTCCAATCACTTGTGAATTGAGCTGTTTGAGCTTGATGGGGTGTACACACATGGGGATGGATTCAAGAAGGACAAAAAGCAGACTGACTGTAGTGACTGTAGACAATAATGTGCATGCCATGCTTGAAACTTCAGATTGGCCTTGCCACTCAAAAATGCAAAGTGGACTTAGTCAGTTGGACCAAAAGAATACTATCAATTAGCGAAACAGGTGAAATCCCCGAGGCGTTGGTTGCCCCTGGGTTTTTTGGGACAGAATGCAGGCATTCTCATGCTCCTCATGTTGGCATGTTTTCTGAAGGGGTAGACGTCCGTTCATGTAAGACAAGCTTAATGAACAACTAGTATAATTAGAACTATTTGGATCTATGTGGTATACCATTATTGTATATTATTATATAATGATGATGTTTACATATGCCCCAACACTCGTTGGGACTCAATTCAGTCCATGCTTGGACCCCTCGAATCGCGGCCTGCTCCTGCGCTCTTCCCTCCTTGTCCGTAGCTCACCTGGCTCAAAGGTTGCCAGGCTTCGGTGACCATGCCCCCCGCGGCCAAACAAGAAGAGGCCCGTGACTTGGGGCAAAGGGAATGCTTCGACTCACCAAAGCATCCACAGGTTCTCCAGAAATGGGATGGCATAGGGAATGTAGATGTACACATGCCCTTGGTCCACGGAGTGTATACAGGCCCTATTTCTGATCGGGTTGAGTCATTGGCAGACCTGACCAAAAGAGTTTGTGAACAGCCCGGGTTGACCATCGAGAATGTTAGACCAGTTACGTCATGACGTCGTGACGTTGCGACGTTCAAGCCCGGCTGGGCAGCACTGCATCACATCCAACAGCCCGCCATGCCGAACGCACAGATGCAGATGTAAATGTACCCCACCATAGCTTTCCAGCCGTTTGGTAGTGGTGCCAGACAACCAAGTTTAGCCAGCATGCCCAGTGTTTCTCCAGGAGAGTGGCTGATAAGAAAGCTGCAGAAGAGGTGGTCTCCAAAAAGTTGAAGGCTGCTGCTGCCGATGCTCTAGCCATCGATGGCTGCCCGGTGCGGTGTTTGGCTAGCTTGCCCCGCGCGCCCACGCGGCCCCGGGTCTCTTCCGGCTCCAGAGCTCCCAGAGCTGGCCGGGTGAAAGTCGAGGGGAGGATCCAGGTTTACAAAGTACTGTTGTGTTGCTCTTTGCTTGAAAGTCCCAGTTGAATCGTGAAGCACCTTGGACCACCCTTAGATTTGATACCGGAAGCATGTCAGCGGGATTTGAGCATCAGGAGGGCGACTGGTGACTAGTGGTTCTGGAGATGGTGGTTAAGTTGAAGCACAGCGATGCTACTTCGCCGTGTGTCAAGTTCCCTCCTGGAAATATTCAATGATTGCTTCACGACCGAAACCAGCCCAAAATGCCTTGTGGAGGACCTTGGATGGGTAGAGATTTGAACGGAGGTAACTCTTAAGTCTTAAGTGTTTAAGGAGTTGCACTCAGCTCCAGTCAGATACTTGCCTCAAATCCCCAAAAGTGATGACTCCTAGGGCGGCCATGAGTTGCCAAATGTGGCATTGGAATGCATGGGGCACACCACACCACATACATAATATGTCAACATTTGATACACTTGCATTCAATGATTCAATATCTATTATATTATTGAATACCAGGACCCCCCTAGAGGTTAAGATCCTTAGAGGTTAAGGGGTGTCTAATTCTAGATCCTTAGAGGTGATTCGGGTGTCCATGAACCACTCCGACTGGGGGTCCTATTGCCAGATTGCCATTTGATCTTGACTGCCAAGACCATCTAGGTCAAGCGCTGGTGCAGTTCGTTGACCCAGAGGGGCCGCTCGAACCCAGAGTTCTGGAGCAACCAGAGGACGAACGAAGAATGCCGAGCCTAGAGGACTTGAAGTGTTCTTCCAAGGAAAGTAGTCTTCCAAGCACGCATGCCATGAAGTGGATGGCATGTGCTTTTCTCAAACACGAAGCGCCGCGACGATAACTTCCCTCAGCAAAAAAATGAGCCACATCCACGAGCTCCTTCAGATGGTGGACACAGTCACACCAAGATCCTACTGCAATGTGATCCATGGATGAAGTACCTGCCATTCCCCACCTATCCGTCCAACCTTGTGTGTTGGGAAGATGTTCAGAAATTCCAACACCACCAAGCCATCCACCAGAGCGAGTTCCTCGTTCCTCGTTCCTCGCGGTTCCGCGCCGGTTCCTTGCCCGCGCGCGTTCCCTCGCTGCGCGAGCATGATGATGTTCGGAGAGACGCGATTCCATTCAGGAAGATAGCAGGTCCCCAGCTGGATGTTCCTTTGGGCACCTCCAAGGACCAATTGGGAACGCCGCTCGGTGCATGGAACGCGTCGCGTTTGGGCGGCTTGAAGCCGGCACCTGGTGGTTTTTGGTCGAGGGTGGGAGGGCGATGGGGTTGATATGCATGCGTGGGGCGAAAAGGACTGGGCCAAGTCATTTCATTCGTGATGCAATTGATCAGAGCTGGGGATTCACAGTGGGTTCCACTTTTGGAAGTTCCACGATCCAAAGTGGGTATGGTCCAATCTTCATGCTGTCCTTGTCACAACTTGAGGCTCCTGAATCAGCTGCTGGAGAATAGCGAAGAAATGCCTTACAGCTTTCACCTGGAAGACACGGAGATCACCTCCAACTTGGCGGCGTCCTTCGGCAAACTCTCCAAAGGCCAACAGTCCACTGAGCCTTGTCATCCGCAACGGTGTTGTCATCCCAGGCAAGGCTCCGTTCATGGAATCCTTAAGATTGATCAAAACATTTTGGGGGGGCACACATGTGCGGCGGAATCAATGTGTTCATGTTGTGCCAATCTGTTTACACTAAGTAGCAAAATCAGAATGAATGCCGGATATCTTGTGCAAAAGAAAGATTTTCGCTTCATTCAGGAGCGTGTGCTGAACATCACCTACTACCCCTTGGCTGTGTTCCGCGTTCGGCCCGTCACGCGCTGCACTTCTTCGCTCAGCGGCCACATCGAGGCTGGTGGCGGGAGAGAGGGGTGAGTGGCGCTTTGGGTGGTTTTCACGGGTCTAATTGTTTGGTATATAGAGGGTTGCAGATCACAGAGCGGTAGTTATGCTGGAAGTATGACTATATACTGTACACTAATTATAAATTTTGGGGGAGATGTGTTGAAGTTGTCCGTGTGCTGATTTCTTCCTGGTGCTGAAACCTCGCTGCCGAAGTGAAATCCGTCATCAATGACCCATTGGGCAGCGAGTCCCTTCGCTTCCCAGAGTCCGGTGTGGCGTCGCATGAAGGCCGCCAACACGGTCGCACTCGTGTGTGGGTCGCGGTTGGCCCTGAAACTGTCTCACCCGCGACCGGCCGGTCGCGGGTCGCGAAAGCCTCTCGCACCTCTTCCACCTTCCCCGTTCCCCCGCCGCTCAGGCGGTGCTGTGCGTGGCCTTTTCGCCGGATAGTCGACAGCTGGCCACCGGGAGTGGCGACTCCACGGTGAGGCTGTGGGATCTCAACACCGAGCTGCCGAAACACACCTGCAAAGGCCAGCCACTGGGGAGTGGTGGATTGGATTGGGATGGATTGGGTTGTTCCCTGGGGGTTTTTGGAGTGGTGATGCATCAATCGATCTCGTGGCGAGCTCGCGGCGAATGAACAGCGGCACGGCACCCGGACTCGTTTGAGGGTTCGCCGCTTTCCTGTTGGTTTAAGGGATGGACCGACTGGGTGAACCAAGTTGAAGGGTCGCCTGTGCAGGACCACCTCCAAGAACCCCAAGAACCGGGTGAACATGGGTGAACATGCACAGTACTCAGGCACATCTTTGTGACAAGGTGCCAGACAATGTGCATGTTCAGGACCCTTGCTGTCTCACCCCACCAACAAAGAATCAAAAAGAACTTCCTTGTTCATAAACATCACCCCGAGTTCCAGCACCATGTCCGAGAGACTCCATGAATGGAACAGAGTCTCCATGATTCCCTCCATAGGTCGCCTAATATGTACGAAAAGATGCCAGTCCTGCGGAGCTTTGAGACCCCAAGTCCCGCGGCGCCCTAAGGAAGGTCCCCCCGCGGTCGTCGCACGCTGCGTCGTTCGCTCGGATCAAGCACCGAATCGCCCGGTTTGGCTCGGTGTTCGGATGGATTCCTGATGATCTACCCGGCTTCACCGTGCTTCCGTTGCTTGGACAGGTCACTTGAACTGGGTGCTGGCCGTTGCTTGGTCGCCCGATGGCTCCCGACTCACCTCCGCTCCTCGCCCAACCGGGGTGAAGCCGCATGCGTTGCCGTGGCGGTGCGAGCGGTTTCGAAGCGATTTGTTTGGGGGGGCGTTGGAGCACAACCGCACCCAGCAGGTAGAGGAACATCTTCCTCCAGAGCAGCTAGGCATGCATGGCTTGAAGAGTAGTTTCAAGCACAATGAATCATGAACAACCAGTCGAAAACCCAGGAGTGTTGATTTGATGATTTGAATTGATTTGATATCGGTTGTTTGTTTAATGAACTGTTTTGTTTAATGTGTTTTTTCAATTGTTCCTGAGGCTGGCATGGATAAGATTGTACTGGTCTGGTGTGCCCAAAGTGGCAAGAACTTGGGGGCCTTGCGTGGGCATACGCAGCCCGTGACCTGCCTGTGCTGGCAGCCCTTGCACGTCACAGAGGGCGACAGTTTTCCATTTCTGGCGACCAGTTCGAAGGATGCGGCGGTGAGGATTTGGGCCGCTGGAGCTGGATTCAGGTGGATTCAGGGGTTGGAAAAATGGATGAACAAGGCCTTGGCCGGAAAAAAAACCTTCATGGCCAACACCTGCCATTCGTTTTCACCCCCAACAGCAGAACACGGGCGGCGTGGGCGCATCGTGAGAATCCATCGCCCCCCCCACCGAACGGGCATAGGGAATCCATGGTCCGTGGCACACGAGTCGGTGGATGAGTTGGGTAGCTATCAGCTGGAAGGGTGTTAGGCAGCTGTGTTTGGAAGGCATCCCGTCACATTAAGAATCAAGAGTGACTTTGATTCATATGATTCTATGTTGGCACCTTGACCTTCAACCAAAGTAATCACTCGACATTTGCACCTATACTATACACTATAGATATAATACATCTAGATTCACTCTTAAAAACACATGTTGGTGGTCCCATGCCTTTGAAGCGCCAATCGGCCAAGGAAAAACCAAAAAAAGATACATCACCTATCGCCTTCAGGTGGTGAACTATTGTTGCACTCATGTGCCACCATGGGTCCCAAGGTCACCATTAGCTTCTCCACCTTCGATGGCGAAACAGCTTACGTACGATCTAGTTCAGGCAGCCCAACCATGTGTTTGGACCGTGTTTCGGTGGGTTCGGCGGATGATTTGAGTGTCGCCTCCTCAGGATACGACCGCCGGCACGTGCGTGAGAAGCCTCACCTCGCACTCCCAGCCGGTGATGCAAGTGCGCTGGTCGGGCGAGCGCCCGGACATCGGCGGGGTGATCTACAGCGCTGGGCGGGATTGTGTGACCGGGCGGCACAAGAGACTGGGCGTTGTACAGGGGTTGCTTTTTTCCAGCTGGTGATTTGCATCGAGGGCAAAGGCCCTCCCTTGTTTGTTGGTACCAAGTAATTAAGAGGTGCCGGCTGCCAGTATTTGGGATCATGAGAATCATGAGAGATGATTGACATGGCTCGTGTGGATGGTTTGAGACCAAGTTTTAAGATGCCGAAGCTGAGGTGGTGAAGGTGTGGAACCCAAAGGATGGATCCATGCTGTAGCCCAGCGGCATTGGGGGGGGCCAATTGGGACGGGCTGTTTTGAGGTTGCCGCCGGGCACGTGTTTGATAGGGTATAGTAATGCTGTTGATGGATTGAACATCCTGGTGTTGAATCTAGAATCTATAGGGCCTGTTATGAACCAATGCTTGGTATGCATGACTCGCTGGTGCCTTTTGCCATTTTTCAACTTCCTGGAATTACTTGGTTCCGCGTGGGCGCGACGTGTTTTTGAAAGCAATTCTCATGCTTTTGCAAGCAGGGGGTGTTTCATTTGTAGTTCATCCAACTCACTTGGGAGGTGAGGTCAACCCCTTGACCACTTAACAAAAAACAAGCTGTTTCACTTCAGCCGGTCTGAAAAAAAGAAACCACCAGAACCACCTGGACAATTGGCCAACCACGCCCTGCCTAGTGGACGAACCTGCACATCTCAGGAGCGAACTCAAAGGCCACGGTCATTGGGTGAACACCTTGGCGTTGAACACGGATTATGTGCTTCGCTCGGGGCCCTTCACTCATGAGCCACAGAAGTTCAAAGACCTGGCGGAGAAGAAGGTGCGGGATCGCATACATGTCTGCATCAATGCGAAGGGCGTGGGGGGAAGATCCCATCAGGGCAATTCTTTGGCGCCTTGTTGACCTTTGAGGGACACTTCCCATGTCCCCGAACCAGGAGCATGTTTATCCTCATGATGTTTGACGTGCAAGCGATGTTGGACGTAGAGGTGAAGTGATTGACATCATGAAAGCCTTGAAGACTTCCCAAACAACCCCTCTGTGTCTCATGAGGGAAGCATCCAAAACTGGCTGCTGGCGTTCGATGTGCCTCTCATGAGGGAAAGCCCAACGTCCATTATTGTTTATCGCTTCTTTTTTGGTTCATTCCTTGGCGTTTGAGTCTAAGACTATATTTAAATATAATTAGGAAGCTTGCCTTGAGTTCGTGCGTGTTGGCCGTGCAAGTGGCGAAGACCTGTTTTGGAGAACTGTGGCCTTATATGGCCTTATGCCACAAGCATTATTCACAGCATGTTGTTGATATCCTGCAAACAATTGGCTGCTGTGTTCACTTGCATCTCCACTTCTTAGAGCGGGTTGCAGACACCTAAACAGCGACCCCAGAGTGGTTTCCCTTGCGCTTTTGGCCGTTCCTTTTCCAGGAAGCGGCCAAGAAGCGTTACGATGAAGCCATCCAGTTCCGCGGCGGTTCTTTCAGCTCAGATCGGATCGTTGGGGGTGGGTTCTTGAACTCCCATGGAAAACCAGGCCATCCATGGGACTGGAATAGTTATAGATACCTGTTTCTTCGCTTACGTGAGTGATTTGGAATGATTTGGACCAACCTCATCCGCCTCAACACTCGACCTTTGCCCTAAACGCCTCTCCGGATTTGGATCTCCCCAATCTCCCACCTGAGGCTTTGCGGGGGCGAGCGGCTTCTCAGTGGCTCGGATGACTTCACTTTGTTCCTTTGGAGACCTGTGGCATCTTCGACAGATTCAGCGTCGCCACCGGCCGATTTGGAGAGATGGGTCAACGGGCCAAACGTGAGTGCCGAAGGTGGATCGTCTTTTGGGAGACCTGCGGAAGAGCTAAGGCGTTCTGTGGTCATAGCCAAAGTTGAAGCTTCTTGTGAGAGTCCAACCGGGGCAATGGAGGGGTGGTCGTGTGGAATTCTGCCTTTTGAAGATGTCAAACTCAGGTATCCAAGACAGCAGTGTGCCGAATGACAGGGCACCAGAAGATCGTGAACCAAGCCACTTGTCAAACCTGCTGGCTGTCGGAGAGTGATTCATTAAGCAGGATCATGCCACGGCTCTCCAATGGGCTACCCTTCAGTCCTTACATGTCCTTCCTGGGCATCCATTGGACATGCCGTGGATGATCCAGGCAGAATTGTAGGTCGAGATACTTTGGTTTGGATGAAGTACTTTCCATCTCTTTTGGTAATCCTTCGGAACCCACCAACGAAACATCTCCAATTTGTATACCACTCCCATGGTAAAAGAGATCATGTTCTCCCCTTTGTATCTCATCGGATAACGTTTGGGCTTTGGCTTTAACAAATCAAAGATACCGGTGGGTTGCAAAACTAAAAAAAGCTGGCTCCAGCTTTCGGAAGATCCAGCTCAGCTCCTGCCGATATCACCAGCTCCCGAGGTGGCCTTCTCACCAGACGGCCGCTGGTTTGCCTCGGCGTCCTTCGACAAGTCGGTGAGGCTTTGGGATGGAAGGACGGGAGCGGGAGCCGGAGCGAAAGGACGTCGGAAGGACTTTCTTGTTGTTTCTAATAGCGATGGCCTCCAACCTACTAGCGATGGTGATGGCCTCCAACCTAGTAGCAAACTATATAACTATTAATTACACCTGTTTTCTGTTCTTAGAGATGGCTTGGAAGAAGTGCTCCTCATGTGCAGTCTAGATCGTCGACACCGTGCCGGTCGCAAATAGAGAACTCGGATTCCCCAGTCTTTTGCAATCGACGAAGGACTGGAAAGTACGTGCACGCCTTCCGAGGGCATGTCGGCCACTGGGCATGGCATACAAGCCTGATGCTTGAGAGGGTAGGACATGGAGCCCATGCCTCCAATATCCTCCAACATTACCAGCTTAAACCATCCCCAGATACACAGCTTACAAATCATTCAGGTCAGTTCCTATAGTGTAGTGTATGAATTTACTGCGACCTGGATGCAGATGTCGAATCAGAAGCCAATGGCACCCTCATAATATGCCCAGAAGTACTCAAGGACCTTTGGGTGGTACATCCCCACAGGGAGGAGCTGGGAAGGTGTTGAGTGGATGTTTGATCCAAAGAACAGATAGAAGACAGATGAAGACAGCATACCTCATGACGAGACGCTTGATACGATCAACAAATTTCATGCCAAGGGAAGAGTCAAAGTACCCAACTAAAACCAGATGAACAAAATACTGCAGGAACAACCCTTGCGCGCACCTTGAACATAGAAACAAGGCTATCCATGTTTGCTTGACCAAGGCACAGTACATTCTCTTGCTTGGGAGCACCTTTCTGAGATAGATCCATTGAGATCAGTGTTTCGATCCTTATGTTTGCTCCAACCACTCAACTCTCACCGTCAGCTGGCCTGGTGTTTTGAGCCATCTAGTGACTAGTGATGTCCAGTGGGCATTTTGCCGGTGGTTTCCGCCGTCTTCGTTGTGAGGTGATGTCTATCAGCTGGCCTGGTCCGCGGATAGCAGACTTTTGGTGAGCGTCTCCAAGGACGGCTGTGGTATGCTGTGGTGTGATGTGCCAGGTAGCAAGAGGGCACCTAGCTGCTAGCTTGCTAATGATCATTGGTCCCAGGTGAAGGGAAGAGGTCGCTTTGCAACTTCATTTTGTGTACAGAGATGGCATCATTATGATTATGATTCATTTCGATGCATTTCGTTTGCCGTATGTTGTGTTGATTTCGGGCTCGAGACAGCTATTGCCACATAGCTATTGCCGATAAGCTGTTGTTATGTGTTCGAGCTGTTGGTATAATAGTATTTTTTTTGTGATGAAGAACTGTAAACTCATTATTATGGGCAACATTCGAACATTTTGGAAACACCTCGTTTTTCAAGCCAAACTTGATCATCCTGGTTCGCCATCCCCCACCGGGCACAGGCAAACTGCTTTGATCCCAGCACCAGGCACCCGTTCATTGCTTCCGAAGGCCGACCATGGCAGACCATCCCCCCCTTTGGCTGTGCAAAGTCCAAGCGTGCTTTGTACCCGCTCCACATGTAATCAGCAATCATCTCCAGTACATGTTGCAACTTTAGGGCAGGTCAATTTGTTGGTTCCTCGGATATGTTTGGATTTTTTTGATTGGGAAGGTGCCCTTGTAGACTATCATTAGGCCCTGCCAAAGTATAAGCCCTGCCAAACCATGGTGGAACATGCACAAACTATTGCAACCGAGTCCAGCTGCAAGATCTTCAAATGGTAGATCATGGCGGAGCACCAAGAGACGGCACCAACAAGAGACGGGCACACTCCGAGTGTTTCGGCCATGGATGGTGAGCTGCACCATTTGGAAGGGGAGACTGACACTGGAACCAGCGCTGGAACCTTTCACCGAAGCGACAACGGGTTGAGGCTTGGCCGGGCGGGCGCGGAAGCAGGGGGTGCATACAACCCCGAGGACCCGATGTGATGAGCCTTGGGGAGGTCCTTGTCTTTGTGAGACGTGGTAGTCACATCAGTCAGCTAGTGGGGATGATTGATGGTAATTTGGTATGGCACCCAGATTCATAGGGCTAACGTGACTGAAGCAGCGACATGGCCGTGGCCGAATTCAGATTTGGGGCGACGCCCACTCTTTGGTGGGGAACTGGATGTTTGGTATAGTTATGTATAGTTAACATCGGATGCTTTAAGTTCTTTGACGTTCTTTCTGTCCTTGAACACATCCAAGGAGGCCAAGTGCAAGAGCTTTCAGTGAGTTGGAGATTTTGCTGAGCATTTTCTGGGTTCCTGCCAGCATCTTCGTGGTAGCAGAGGTCGGTGCTTATGCCTCCTTTCGGAAGAGCTTCTTCGTGGCCTTGACTGGCAATGCCTTCGATCTGGGTCTCAGCTATGCTCGAGTGGTCGAGCTACACGTTTGGGCGAGCATCGCCATGTGGACCTTGGCCGCATTCCAGATCCATCAGAGGACCCGAAAGTGGCAGAGCCCTTGGCTTCATCGGCTTATGGGGAAGGCCATGTTGTTGACCTTCTTCATCGTTGTTTTTCCTACTAGCCTATACCTCTCAGCTCTCCAGCGCATCGACTACCTCGCGCCCGCCGTGGCCGCCGTTTTGTTGGACACAGCCAGCTGCACCGCCTTCTTCTTGTACCGTGCGTGGCGGGTGGCACGCACGGCAGTACCTCATCGCAACCCGAAGTCCATGGCGTTGCATGGCCGACTCATGCAGTGTGGCACCATGATGAGCATGTCCATTTTGCCACAGCGGTTTCTGCAGTTCTACCTGACGATGCATTTGAAGATGTCCCACCAGGCAATATTGAACGTCTATCTTTCATATAGTTATGCACAGTTCATCTATATATAGAGAGAGAGAGAGTTGTGATCTTCTTTACACCCAAAGCGTGAAACAACCTAAAAGGACCTAAAGCCCAAAGACTACAATACTTGCGTGTGTTGGCTCAACTAACTAAGCTAGTTTCTATTGATATCCTTTCATGTTTCGGGTTTTCACCTTCTTTTGCGACTCTCCCAGTTTTTAGGCGAACTACTCCATTTCCATTCTGGTGACGTCCCTGCTCTTCTTCGTCTACGGCCACTTCTTCGATGGTCCCCGGGGCCGCATTTGGGTGCAGTGCATCGGAGCTGAACACCTGGAAGAGGCCTTGGGCCGACGCCAGACCGGATCGGTGGAACGCTGGCTTTGGCGGCTGCGGTGGGTCATCTATGTCGGCGCCTACTACCTACTGAGGAGGAGCCTTCCGTCAGAGACGATGGCCGGCGCAGGTTGAAAAGATGGGAATTCAGCGCCACGATGGTCAGCGCCCCTGCGGCGTCCAGTGATCGGAAGTGACCGGCTTTGGACTCCGGGGAAATCCATTGATGTGACCCGGAAAGGGATGGGAGCGGGAGATTGGTACATGTCGTGAACAGTACAATCGATTTGTGATTATTTGTGTGGGCATATGTGTTGCAGGGGGACACCAAGGGTTTGCATCACTGTAGCATCGGTCAGTGGGATACGGATACTGGATGATACTGGGGTCCAAAATACGCATGCGCCAGTCCCTTTTTCATCCTTTTGCACATCATATATATATATAACTATATATATATAATGTTGATGAATGTTGCCTTTTTGTGCACCCAGTCACGTGTCAGCATCACATTGAGTGTGTTTTTTTTTGATGTTTTCTCCGCCAACGGCCAACGACCTTCTGACCATCGACCGAGCCGGAGCCAGGATTCCACCGCCAAGTGCTGGGACATCGGCCAACGGAAACTGCTGGAGGATTTGCCTGGCCACGCGGACGAGGACGGGTCGAGTTAACGCGGAGCGTGGCCAGGATTTTGGGCGAAGGATTTGGCAGGGCCTTGATAAAGGCTCATGAAGAAGGAAGGTGAATTCATGAAAACATGGGCTGCGGCAGCAAAAGAAACATGTGATGAAAGATGCCTTCTTCAAAGCAGGTAGCTTCCCAGTCGACGTTCCACAATCTATACACTTTTGTAGGCCCGTTTTCCTCCTCCAAACCCGGATCAACCAACGCCCCCTCCACCCAAACTGGCCACTTCACTGCCTCTACCGCCACTTCACCCAAGCGCCGCGAGGTGTACGCGGTGGATTGGAGCTTGGATGGCTCCCGTGTGGCCACAGGATCGAAGGATCGGCTCCTGAAGATTTGGCGCCACTGAGGCGAGACATGGGTTGATGGCACAAATAGGGCTTTCTGAAGCGGATCTTTGCGGGGGCTTTTTGGGCTCATAGGGAGTGACAAGGTGGTAGATTCATAGGGTGATTTGATGTGATGATCCGGCCCAGCCTGCACCTCCACAAACCATCCCGAGCCCTGACATTCCCTAACGCTTGCACTAATGTTTTAACATCTCCAAGCACAGCCTTTGCCCGGGCAAGACATGGAAGCTGAACATGGCAATCTGCGGCTTTTGTTCTCCATCCGTTGAAACACGAAATGAGAGGGGAATGAATGACCTAAAGCAGCCTGAAGCATATTATTTAGCTTGTAGGACTTAGAGTGGACTCCTTGGTACCGCCTGTGGTTGTCCCAGCTGCGGCGCCAGGACGTGTTTTTGACCTCTCAAAGAGGCTGGGCGTGTCTCCGATCGTTTCACCTGATCGTCTCAGCATAGGACCCCAGTCCAGGGCGCCATGTCTTCAGCGTTTGTAAAGACAAGGAACGAGGACGTGACATGCTTTGCTGAGATCATGCCAAGGCCTGAATGTCTAGAAGCATAACAACCTCACCTGGGAGACAACGAACAGGTCCAATACGGAAGGGTTCCTCACACTTAGAAGATCTTAGAAGTACATGATGTCCGGCATTCTCTCCGAAACTCCTGTCCGGGATGGACTGTTCTGACCCTTTCTGATAAGGTCCATCGCTGCTGTTTCATTCAAATCATCTGGTCACCTGTTGTTTGGCTCAGCCCATCTCAGCCCCTTTATAAAGTTGCCTTGCAGTCACAGGGGAGGGAGTGAGAGATGCTTACTCAAGGAAGGAGGACTCCGGACCCAAGCACTTGCTTGCATCACACAGTCAAAGAAAAGAGGACACTCACAAGGAGCGGAGTCATTGAGAGAGATCATTGAAGCCTGGGGCACCGGACCGGGCTTTCCTTTAGCTGGCTCCTGTCGGCCACCATCAATAAGCGCCAAGGGGACCACGCAAGCAGTGGAGTCCAAAAGCGCTGGGCACGGGTTGTTCACATGGGCATGGCCTCAAGTTCGAGGATTGGAGTCAGACGTAAGTATATGACTGAATTATACTGAGCCATACTGAGCTATAGGATCGCATCATATCGCATCACCTGAAAGTGGAGGATGATTGCCACCCGTACCCTCGAAACTTCCCTTATTCTTAGCAAATTAGCCTTTACACGCACATATATATATATATGTTATACACATGTATAATTCATATATATGTTATATATGGTATGGTACCCTCCGGAGCCTGGGTTTTAATTTGTTATTTATTGTTTTGTAAATTGTTGAAGGGTTGGATCTTGCTTGTCTTGGGGGGGGCTATCATGCATGGTTATACAAATATGTATATATATAATATATATATATTGTAATTTGTATACATTTATAGTGCAGTTATTAGCTCAGAAGAGCTGTGAAGACAAATGCTTGCTTGAGGCCCTGGTACTTGCATAGTTTTTGTTTGCATCCCAAATGTCAAATGGTTTAAAATATTTAACACATTTGGGGATGCCAAGAACTCTTAAGTACCAGGACCGGGGGGATGCACAGGAGAGTCCGGGAGAGAGTACCAGGACCTTAGATCTTAGGTCCCAAATGTTCAGACATGTTCAAAAAAGTGTTAAGACATTTTGGGCGGGATAGATGTGGTTTCGTGATGGTTTTGGACGCGGGGGTGCTTGACATTTACCCCTCTAATGGTAGCTTACATGGACATGCCGAGAGGATTTCGAGAGTTGATTTCGCACATTGAGTTGAATCCAAACAATATCCGGGTGTTCATGACGACTATCCTTTCTTTCGCACATAATACACCTTTGTAAGAAAAGACACCCTTTACAAGAGCACTATTGGTCAAAAAGAGAGTTGAGTTAGACATGTCATTCTTTATATGTTCTTCCCTTTATGAGGGCTTCACCCTGTGTGTATGAGCCCCGCTAAACGTCCTTTTTCATTTGCAATAGCCTCCTTTATTCTTGAGTCACAATTTGTGGTTTGCAAGCGTTCTTTCTTCCTGCAAAAGTGAAATTATCCGCAAAACACCTCCATAATTGCCAAATTCCTTTTGTGGTTTCTCCAACCCTTTTAGGTCTTTACTAAATCTAACACGTGTGTGTCAACAAAAGTTAACTATATTGCTGACTTTGAGCAGGCAAACAGTTTCGCTACACAATTGCTGACAATACGAGTGGCACTTATCGATAAACACTTTGCAGTTTCGAGTCCAAGCAGGAGCACTTTAGACAGCCAACGGCCTTGTCATTGAGTCATATTCTGTGTAGCTCTCCTATGAAAGGATTTGAATTCCCAAGTGCTAGTTTGAATTCTGATCGTTAGCAGGTCTCACTGGCTTGCCTCTGCTCAAAATGTTTTTTTGTTGTTCATGTTTATAGTTTCATCCGTTATTTGCAAACATGTTCTTGCAGGATATTGACCATCAATCAAGAAAAACGAGCTAAGCCAAACGTAACAAGATTCCGCATGTTCCTCCCTTGCCTAGCAAACATAATTATCAACATAGATTCAAACAATATTTCTCATTGTTGTTCATAGTTTTTTCCCCTCTGGGCTGCCCAGTTCCATTGATAATTGACCATGTTTTGGTGTTCAGCTTGCTTCCCTGCTTAGA